GGGGCCGCAGGGGCCGCAGGGGCCGCAGGGGCCGCAGGGGCCGCAGGTGCAGGTGCGCTAGCTGCCGTGCAGCTGGCGGTGCTTGGATCTGGCTCACGGCAAGACAAACAAGTGACCCAAGTTGCCTGTAGTAAACAGGTGGTGAAACGTAATTATATATGTGATACAAGACAAATTCTACAGAACTTCTGCTAGTGCAATGTCCATAGCGTGCTATGCCTCCTTTCTGCTCCCTCTCTATGCTTATCCTGCTCTTCTGGTTTCTCTTGAATGTGTTTCTTTTGTGATGGGAAACGTTCTGAAAGATTCAAATGATACCTATACTATATCTCTACCGCGATCAGTATCCTGCCTTTGAAATTGCCCTAAATATTCCATTTCAACGTGTCCTCTAGCAGAATAATTATATATAGATATAACTAACTTCATGTATTGTCATTGTCCTTTCATCTAGAGATCTTTTGTCTGCTTCTTCCATCTTGCTGGATAGGGGGCCATTCCGAATCCGGGCCAACCTCCAAAAAAAGGACCACCAACGTTCCAAGCCTCAAAAGGCTGGCCGCGCCAACGATCCACCCCACGCCTACGCGGCTGCCCAACGCCTTCCGCCCACGCCTTCCTCCACATCCTCCGGCTCCACCGGGTGCCCACCACTGCAGCCCATGGCGCCGGCGCAAGCGGGCGCGTGGTGAGCGGGATGCGTGGTGATGGGAACAGACATGAATGCCCAAATGAAGAGGTGTAAGGAGACCTATGGAGACCTCCTTTTGCCCCCCCAACAAAAACACTCTCAATCGAAGGGACGCATTGATCAGAAGCTTGCTTCAAGATGCGCCTTGGAACGGCTTCGTCCGGCTTGGTCCAATCGTTTCCCGCCCCATGGAACGGTGGGGGGAATCAGTGCTTCTATCTCTGTTCCATGATGCGAAGAGATGTGGGCCAAAGAAACACCTGGCTTCAGAACGGCAAGGGTTTGGGCCTCCAGAGCCCCTGCATCCATTTTGCCTCCAACGTTTCCCAAATATGGTGCTGATCGGTGGATTCTGTGTCCAATCCTGTTACAAAATGGATCAGTCCATCAAACGCGAACTCGAACGGGACGTCTGGCCCAACAGGGTGTTCCACCCCTACGGTCTAAGCCTTCGCAGTTTTCAGGGCCCAAAACGGACTTCTCGCCAGCGCAGCACGCGGTGCCCGGCGCCGTCGTCGCGACGGACTGGAAGCGGTGTGGTATCGATCCGCGGAACGTTCTCCGCTGAGCGGATCGAGTCACGGTCCGGCAGTGGCTGGATTTGGGCATGTTGACCATGTTCCTTTCATCTAAGGGAAAACCGTCCATCTCGTGGTGAAATCGTCACGAAAAAAACGCATTCTTGTTTCTTTTTCTGGGACCTACCAGTTTTTCGGACCGCAGACCGCAGGGAAACGGAACTCCTCATATCCCTCATACCCAGACACTCCATGTATGCCATATATGCCTACATTGACCCAAACCACCCCAATGTAGGTATATATGCCATACATGGAGTGTTTGGGATACACCAACTCTTTGCAGTTCCAAATCAGGTGGTTTAACCAGTCCCATCCAATGAGTACGATGTGGATGCTCTGCACACCCGCACCCTCCAGTCCTGCGGCACCTACCCTCCAGTCGTGCGGCACCTACCTTCCAGTCGTGCGGCACCTACCTTTTAAGAAACGCCTGGGTCATTCTTCTCTTCTGAAGAATACTGAATACTGAAATGGCCAGCTGGATCATGGCACCTGGAAGCCCTAGTATATACTACCCTGGTGGGCTGACATCCTTGATGCAATAGGAGGAATCTGTGAACATTTGATCAGCGGGAAGAACCGGGGTCAACCGGGGCTTTGACCCACAGTCAAGTCTCTCAATCCATGGGAGTACTCCACCCATCCTCTGGAGCAGACTGTGACTGCGCTGTCTGTTGGTGTCAGCCGTCGGGAGCTGCTACAGGCCAAATGATGCAAACAGTTTAGTTTGAGCGTGTGGTTTCTGGAGCTGAAATGTGGTGAACAAGACAGAGATGTGCTTCAGGATGTGGCCAGACTTTGGATTGAAGTCATCGCTGAACAAGTCCCTCCCCAAAAAGCAACCTCCACTGAAATCTCCTTGGTTTGGGTTTGCAAAGAAGCTGTTAATTTCTTCTTGCAGATTCAAGTATGATGTTTAGATCACTAGGGAACGGGGATAGGCATGTGGTTCTCGTCTCTGCCCGTAGCCATGTGGCACGAATGAGTAGATATCAGGTCTGCCACCCCAAGAGCTGGTGAAGGTAAATATCCATCTAAGACAGCTTCAAACAGGGTATGACTCTTCGGGTATAACTCTTCCAGTATATTATAGCTAGAACCCATATGACCTCTGTTTTGATGGTAACTCTTCCAGTATATATTGTATAGCTAGAACCCATATGACCTCTGTTTTGATAGGAAAAAACAACCATTAAAAGAAAAAAACACCAAACAAACACAATGTGTTGACTCCAAACACGGGTCACCCAGGTGCTAGGTATGTATATTATATGTGTGTGTGAGCTTTGACCATCCACTCATTTGCTGTGTATCTGGGCTTTGACTCGTCCTTCGCACGTTCCAAGAGCTCCAGCGCACGCTGGGTCGTCTCGAGGGCCTGGCTGCGTGGACTCGTTCCATACCGAAAGCTGAGGGTCCCAGGCTTGGGCGTCGTAAACCAGGGTCCCAAGCCCCCGGTCTCTACCAGAACGAAGGCGCCCGGTCTCAAACGACGACGGAACGAAGGCGACCGGTCCGCACGGTCGCGGTCACTCGGTGGCACAGGAGATCGTCGGAGATGAACGAGTCACCGTGAATTCGGAGATGGCGAGTTATAGTGGGTTGAGAGTAGATGGCACAAGTTACCCCAAGGTTCGGTGGTTGATATGGACCCCAAGAAAACAAGACATCTTGGGGTCTGTGCCATCGAACCTCTGAAACCACTGTTCCAGGAGTCACATGGAGGCCAGGGCGGTGTGAAACGTCCCATCCAGGGGCCGTGGAGGTGACGTACGGGGCACTATCCTCCAAGTTCGGCACTATCCTCCAGGTGACTCCTGGTTTGATGGGTGTTTGCATGTGTTTCCTCGGCTCGAAACGTGGCATCGGATGGTGTTTGGCACTATCCTTTAGGCATCGGTTTCAAGGTGAAACGTGGCAAACAATGTGGCTGAGGCATTGCCTGCACCAACTGAAAAACCAAACAATCATGGGGCTCGTGGAGGCACATCCTCTGAAGGTCGTGTTTTTCAGGCCGGCCGCCCCCCGAACCCTATAAGCACTGAGCACCTATACCTGGAGGTAGTTGGAGCCCTCCGGTATGCGTCTATCCCAGAAGCATCCGGAAACCCACGAACGTACCAGTGATGCCTGTTCCAGTGGCCCTTTGGAACGAGTCCCTGGACGCACGATCGTCACAATGACAGTAGAAAGAACTCATGATTTGAGTCAGTTGGGCTCTTGCGAGCTTCCTAACACAGAGAATTCCGGAGACGTCAGAGATGTCACACGAGTATCGAACTCTACTTGGAAGCTCTCAAGATGTTCACTCCCATTGCCACTATACCCGGACCCTCCTGCCTGGGTGTCCTCGCTGGACGCCCCCCAGCCCACTACTATGTGGGATCTCCAGCCACAAGACCCAGACCTATACCTGGCGTCCAGGACACTCATCCAGGATGGTCCAAGTAGCTATACCTGGCGGTACTCACTCACCAACCTGTGCCCACCTGGCGGTACTCCTGGCCTCTTGGTACTCCCGGTGCTCAGCCCGGCGTTGTGCGAGGGCCTCGCTCATCTGCACGTCGAGATCCTGCGATGTCACTCCGGAGGCTCAGTGGACGCAAGAGATCGCAAGATTCGGTGAGCAACCTTGAAAATGAGGTGAGCGACCAAATGATCCGTTTTATGTTAAAAACTAAACACTGTAGGATGTTGGGGGTGGCTCAGGTGCATGCATGGACCAATGTGAACTGTTTCTGCTGTCCAACGCAGAACTGTGGAGCTCAATCCGAGGCTGGTCGTTTGCGTCCGTGGTGTTCTGAATTGCCCCTGCATGGCGAACCCAGTCTTTCTAAATTTGTGTGCAGCATCTAGCGACACAAACGATTCAAGCATCGGCAGACCAGCCTGAAATGGGCCTCGAAAAGAACGATAGTAATTTACTTGAAGCATAGCCTGCCCAACAGAGTTCGGAAAGCGATGTTCCTCCATGATGGAGGCTCTCGTCATAGCTTCTTGTTTACCAGCAAGTAAGAACTCAGTGCTTCTCCCAGGGAATAGGACTATACAGAGCTGTATAGAGCTCCGAGATGCCTTCGGCATCCATGATGCGACAGGACAGAACTCCTGAATGGTCTTCCTCAAAGCAGCCACCTCCTGAGCCAGGGACGTCGCAAACAGCACACGTCGCAGAGATGCTCTGAGCTTCAAAGAAGAAACCTCCGAACCAAAACGCTCTGGATCCCTTTCAAGTGCCTATCGGTTCTACAGTTTTGCTGTAACATTGAGACTACTACAGATGGAGAAACGATGCCCAAAACTACTTGAGGGTCATAGCTCCCTAAAAAATGGATCAAAGCAAGGACCTCAATTAATGGTACTTTCCTTTCGATTGTAGCTAGGGCCAAGGGTGCAAAATTGCATAAATCGAGCCTGCTCAGAAAGCAACCTGCTCCAAACCAAAAACATCACCAATGAACTCGGGTACATTTAAAACAAACCTTGGCAAACCCGTTGTGTCCTGCTGAGCCTGCAGCCTGTCGGCTTTCACCTGCAACCCAGTTGCGCGTCGAATCTTCAGCCCGTGTTGAAAAAGGTGGAGGAGCGGTGGTGGAGATCGGATCAAACTTCCAGAGATCTGAATGACCAATACCCAACACACACTCCATGAGATTGGAATATATGCCGATCAATTGACCCCTTTCCCACCACCCCAATGTATGCAAATATGATATCATATGATATCCCTCGTGAGATTCCGAGGGCTCTAAGGAATCCCTGAAGAAAACTGACTAAATGTCCCTATAGAAAGTGCATCGTCCAGCATCATGCATCAAATATGGCAGTCCCACTGGCAGTCCCATGAAGTCTCTGGGATAGGAACCCTCGGCACCCGGAGAAAACGCGCTCCAGGATCCTCTACGGTCAGTGGTTCGACTGTTGGACAGCAAGCAGTGCAGCTGCATGGAATCGTTTTAAATTCGAACCTGGGGTACTGAACTTCGAAGGTACTGTCTCTGTTATTTTCCCGGTATGTCTTTTGCTTTTGCATCGGGAACTGTGGCTGAGATATGTAGCTGTGGCTGGACAAGAACTCTCACCTGGAAGGATCATCGACTGCGGGTACCGGCTGGCGCCACGGCTTGGTACCACAGAAAGCACCGGTTCCCGAGAAACTGCAGCTCTCCCAGCGTTGTACCAACTCACTAAGTATGGAAGTAGAGATCAAACCTTAAACCCCTCTTTACAAACCGGGAAAATCGGCTTCAATCCTTTGGGATGATATATGAATAAGGAAGACAAGTAGGCAGTAGGCACATGACAATCTTTAAAACTTAGGTACTCTCCAGTATATATCGGAAGAGCGGCTCACCAGCAACGCCTGTCATGTCAATCCACACCTCGTCCATGATCTTGGAGAGGTCCTGGCTTAGGTGACCCAGCAACAACTGAGTGAAACAAAGGTTTGCACAATACAAACAACATGGGTATGTGACAATATATGTATACAGTACATATATGAGAATTGGACAATCATATGATACCAATCTATATATAATTGATAAATAACAATTACTAACAATAATGTTATTGTTATATATTCTGGCAATTATATAGTTTGAGTCAGACCCCTCTGCGTTCCTTCCTTTGCCAACCAGGCAATCAGTTACCGGGGCTTTCCTACGGTCATGGGACCTATGGACGTCATTTTCAACAGGGAAGACACTTCTTTTGAACCGCCACCGGTGTGGATCGTGTTCGCAGCCTCTGATGCTTGCCGCAAGGTTGCCGCATTCTCGTCGGAGCTGCGCTTCTCCCCCTGCATCGCGCTTTTTTTCGGCGAAAAGGCAGCGCTGAACTCGGCGGATGAGCTGCATCTTAACAATGAATCATAGGTGAACAGAAGCTGCAAAAAGTGAGAAGTGGAGTCACGCGTACGCGTGTTTTCACCTGATGCCTCCAGCTACATCACGGGTTAGTTACCCTCGAAACCCACTTGAAACATGCCCAACCACTCAACCTCATCGTGTATTTGGATGCAAAGGGCAGCTTTGAGGTGGAAAAGCAACTCGTCTTCTGCACTGAAGTGGCCTAACCTTGTGGGTTTTTCTGTAAGGGTAGGAGGGAACTGACCCCCAGGAGCTCGATATGTTCAAAACGGAGATTTGCAAAACACACACTCCATTGGATCTCCCGGAATCGTGATGCAATCCAATTAGAGATCCAATTAGACTCCGAGAACTCCATTGGATTTCCAGAATCAAGATGCTCTTCAGATGCAGATGCTCTTCAGCTGGTGATTTGCCGTTGATTCTCGAAGATTCGCTGGGACTTCGCCTCACCCTGCGGAGACCCGGCGCCTGGCACCATTGGTACTTCCGGTCCTGGCGCACCCTTGCCATGTTCATACTTTCATGCACAAAGTAAGCATCCCAAAGCTCACCAACTGAGTTCCTGCTATCTGCACCTCCAAAATCATACTTCAAATGAGCAGCCTGGCAGGATCTTCCGTGTTTAGGATATGTTTGCCATGGTCAAAACAAGTCAATTCTCCCACCATGTGGTGGATGACTAACGAGTTTCAAGCTTGGGAGCCGTGATCGGAAACAAAATAACACAACACGTGTGCCGAATTACTTGACGAGTTGATGACCTGCAACGATTATGTAAACAGTATAAATACCAGCGCCTTCAAAGGGGTCACCAATGGAAGCCCCTACACTACTTGGGGATCTCCATTGGACACCCTTTGAAGGTCCAGGTAAAAACGAATCATACATGTCACTGAGTCATACCTCCCAGCAAGATTCTGTCCTCTCCAATCTGCTCTTGCTTGAGCATTTGGATCATCTCCTCAGAAACGGTCGGCCCTGCCTTGGAACGGCCAAAAGAAAGGGTCGGGACCTCGTCACATCTGGGGAGTCTGCACATGGAAGATCCCATGGAGGTGCTTCCATGGAGACGTGAGAGTCTGCACATCCTATCAATTCCTATCACATGTCTTGAGAGATTCTTAGGGAGTCTAGTTACACCAGCACCCCAAATCCTCCTCCCGCCCTTGTCAGCACCCACATGTTTCTTCCGATCTTCTGCTCTGGACGTAGGGCCTATCTTGCTTGCAGGATTGCAATCCACAATACATGGCTTCAATATGTTTCAATCTATGTTCGGTGGTCTTCAGAACCACTAATGTCCTGCGAGCTTGTCTTTTGGCCCGGATCCAGCTAGGAGCCTCTTTGGTCCAAACCTAGCACTCCTATGCATTCATTTGCATCATGCTTCCTACGCGAGGCGCTGCTTCCCACGCCTTTGGCTGCGTGCGCGTGCCATTCGGCTGCCCCCCCGGTGTGGTAGGTCTGGGCGGCTTCGTCATGCTGGTGCAAGTGCTGCTGACGCTGCTGACTTGCCCTGCCACCGCGGGCAAGGCGTCTGGAAACCTCAGGATCGGTCTGTGTGTGGTGCATTTGGATTGGTATCTACCTGGACCTTCAAGAGGTGTCAAATGGAGATCCCCTAAGTAGTGTAGGGGCTTCCATTGGTGACCCCTTTGAAGGTGCTGGTATACGGTATACAGATAAACTGAGTAATGCCTTGAGATTTGCTTGCACCCTCACAAGAACCTGGCTATGGTGATAAAAACTAATGCAGGTGCTGGTAATGTGTTCAATGGGCAATGTATCGGCAATCGTATGAAAAATGTACAACCGTGCAGAGGGCACGTTTATGTATAGCCATTGGATTTGGCGGATGCCTGCTTGATTTCTCTGTCTTTTGGACAGTTGAGACATGTCCAACATATTCCTTCGAAGATTATTAGCAACCCCGGAACCATGAGAAGAGAGCACAGGATTTGAGACTCAGCTGGCAGTCTTCTTGTGGTGGAAGCTATTGCAAAGTCATTCACCTTAGTTGGTGGTTTGGATTTCTGACCCACCCCAAAAGGGACACACACAAAAGAACTTGCAATTTGCAAAGGGTTCACGGGTTGATCGCATGAATTTGAGAGAGAAACTGCTGAGGGAAAATCCAGCATACAGTAATTATATGTAATTCAACTAATTACACAATAGTGAAGGATATCTATGTCTTCCCCACTCGACCCAAAGCAAGTGGTCACCCAAGATGTACAATGAAATGCTGTCCAAGAGATGTCAGGGCACACACGGATTCAGTTCCAAAGCCGTGAAGGACAATCTATCGTGTGGTGATGAATTTCGCCGCAGCCATGTTTGAAGGGTATGAATTTCCCTGCTTGACCTACCTATTACCCATTGTGTTGTCACCACGAGAGTTTCGGTCTTAGGAGGCCAACCTGGAATGAGGCATGGCCAATCCCTTTGGTCGGCATGGAAAGTAAAGCTTTAGTAAGCGAAGCTAGGCCGGAGCCGAATGGAGCCAGGAGACCGACCGGGCACGACCTACTCAGGTCGTTCGCTACGTCCCATGGATCGGGGGCTCCAGGTCCCATGAGACGTCACAATCTGTTTTGTCTCTTACCCCTGTGAGACCTTCCTCACAGCCTTCTTCCCATTGCTCTTGACTGAGGACTAGAATCCACCAATTCTCTGTCTCTAAACTATAGGGGCATGGCTCAAACCCACCAGGCATCGTCCAAGTGACAACCCACCAGGACTGGATCAACCTCAGCTGGGATCCCACCAACGAAGTCCAAATTGTGGATCTCACCACCCCTAAAAAACAGCTGCATCCTGATGTCAGATGAGTCCCCAACGAGCTTGCCACTTCAATATCCCTACACCTCCAAATACCTCCTCAGAAGGTATTTAGACCCTCCAAACCCACCCCAGTCCCACCTTCTCAGAAGGTACTTGGAGGCCTAGGGTATACTGGTGACCCGTCATCACCCGTCCCAATTCCTCTGGTGTTTGCGACTTCGATCGTTTTCAAAGTCGGATCCATGCTGATGCGATCCCGATCGAAGCATGGGCCTGTCAAGGTGGGCCTGGTCCTCCAGTGATCCTCCCCTGATCGGTGCCCAAAACCATCCAGAACCCATACAATAAACATTAATTACACATTAATAAACTATAATAAACCAATATACATAGACTCATAGACCTTAACACTGGACACAGCCGGGACACGGGAAAAGTCCTCCACGGTGGACCCTTCGCCACAAAGACACGGGTCCCGGTCGCCACTCATCTTCGCTCCATGGAGGCACCTCAGCGCTTTAGGAGGTGGTCTCAGTCAGCAGCGAGATGAGGTCGATGGCTGCCACCCCAGCACAGCCCGTCTCCATCAGTTCGTCGATCGTCTCCCCGTTCACACCGCCTAAAGGCGGGAGTCTCGGCCCAGTTCTCGGCCTGTGGTGGGCGTTTCCAGTAGCTAAGTGGGCAGGTCGGCTGGGTGGGCGGGGACAAGCCTGAGGTCTCCATACCCAGAGCATCCATGTACGGAAGAGTTGCTTACATTAGGATAATAAATATGGGGTAATCTGTAACTATTCTTCTGGATAAGACTTTGTTACGGTCTCCATACTCTTGAAGACATCCAAGGACAAACCGGGATCCCCAAAAAACATTAATTTAATGTGTGTGTGTCTCTCTCTCTCTCTCTCAAATACGAAAGCATCGCAAAGCCAATGAAGCATTCTAAATCCAGTGCTGAACAATCTTGAACAAGTCATCCTCAACCCGATAGGATCCCCTTTCAGAATGGAAAAAGTATGGAAAGCAAACCGGCCGTGGTCCACTTCCTGGGTGGAGGGTGTATGGGAGAACCGATCGGTTCCAACCGAGCCGTGAAGAATGTATGAGCTTGACACTCATGGCTCCAAGATCCGGCTCATGGGCCGATTGACTGCGCGCTTCACCTTTTAGGACGGCGTGCATCGGTTCAACAAGACCCAGACATGGATTGCAAAACCTCAGAGACTGAGGCGTTTTGAAGGTTGAAATACCATCCAATATCATCTAATCATAGAATATGATTTGTCGCCTGAAACTAGAGCCATACATCGTCACCATGCTCAAAACGATCATGGGGACGCTCCCCCCAAAAAAACATCCGGAGCCAGGTTGGGGCAAACCAGGCCCTCAACTCCGCACTCGGTTCCGTTGGGCGCCGGATGAACCGATCCGAAGTGCCCAAGGCGTAGATCGGCAGGGAGGGATGGGACTTGATCACCGCCTTCAGCTTCTCCACTCCCACCTGAGCCGCGGGGCGCCACAGTGGAACGGCTTAAGCCGGTCCAAAAGAACCTTTCAGAGAGCGCAGCCCAAAGAGGATAGGGTCTCCTTCGGCTGAACTTCTCAATTGTTGTTGTTTCCGTGGAAGATGTATTATTAATTTAATGATCCATATTAACAGGTGTTGAAATCTTAGTGGCGAAATCAGTCCCCCGAAAAGGTTAAAGGTTACCCACTAAATGGGTAGGTTACAGGTTTGTACCTCACAAGGTTTTGCCATGTTCGCCTAATTATTGACCTGTTGGAGGGTCCTGGCAAGGGAATCCAAGTCTTGGTCAAACTTCTGTTCATTTTCCAAGGTCTACCACAGTGTTGGCACAGCCCAGTGAACCCAAATGCAAACCCAGTGACACCTGGATGCCCTGGATGCGACCGCGTTGGAAAAATGGGCGAGAACAGCACGGCATCGCAGCCCTCCTCCTGGGCCAGGGCCACCGAGCGCTCCGAATGGCAGGCGCAGGTGAGGAGCCAGTGCGGATGTCGCTGCCGTAGGCGTGACACCTTGGCACATGAGACAGGGAGGATCAGGGAGGGGTGAGGAGGTCATGGTAGGTTAAGTTGAACTATATATTCTAAGGGTTGAGCAATGCCTAACCTACAGGACCCGCACTTTGTTGGGCGGTCTTTGCGCACCCAAGAGGCCGATGGATGGGGGGGTTGATCTCCGAAAAGGACTTTCTCAGATTCTCCCAATATTGTTCAACTGTGCCGACATATAGAGACGTGAGGGCGCTGAGGCCTTCATTTCTCTTTGTTTGAAACATCCGAATGGTATTCAAGAATCTAATCTACTTGCGGACCTCTGTCAGCCCACCTTGCAGTTCCCAACGACCCTCGGCGACTAGCGCCTCTTGTAGCAAGCCTTCTGGACAGTGCAGGCCATCAGCCTTCGGCTCTCTCAAGCTGTGGGGGAGACTGAGAACTCGATGCCGAGATGAAACTAAGGTTGGAGTCTCTGTGTGATCGTGAGTTTTCCACCTGTCTAGCAATTTTCACTGCCCATACCCGAAGCAAAGCACAGCAAGACATGCATGACCGTCACACAACCAAAAAGCAGCCTGGGCCCGGCTCCTCCACAAACGACCCGACGGGCTGATTTCCGAACGTGTTTTGCACGTCCGCAGGATTGTCCATCTGACTGGCACATTTTTCATAATTGTTTCAAACTTGTTGCTGCTTTGAAGGCTGCCTCATGATGAATTTCCGTTGGATTTCACAATTCATGTGTGATTGGCAATGTGGCAGACTCCTAAAAAGATCTCATTTTCAGGAAGATCATCGTCATCAACCCCTTCGGTTTTTTCACATTGTGCGCAGCGTGTGCGCTGTGAGTGTGGCGAGCGAGTCATGCTTTGCACTTTCCCATCGCCACTGCTACGCCCTTAGCGTGCTTCCAGATCTTCACACTGTTATGAATCCGATGAGAAGTGCTGCCCCACCCTCCACCCCAATTTAGTCACATCCGATGACAATGTTGTGAAGTCGATGACAATGTTGTGAAGTGGACTACAAAGTTGTGACAATGTCGATGACAGTTCTGCACATTCAAAAAAATTATCCCGGCAAGAGACCCCAAACAGTGTGTGTGTGTGTGAGGTAGATAAGCAGAAAGTCTAGAGATCTAGACGCATTGGGGTCCAG